TAAATTCAATTGAATTTCTCTTGTGTTTAATAAACGCGTCACGTTACAAGTGTCCTCTGCTGCTAGAAAAATGTTAGCTCAACAGATATTACAGCTGTTATAAAGAAACAAAGCGCTTCTTAAACATTATTTACACAGTATACATTGCACTAGCACGTTTCCTATTGAGCGTAAAGAATTACGTGTATTGAAACATTTAAAATCTCTAAAACCTGCTGCGAGTTTCGAATTTGCATAATAGTTAACACAACGTTATAAATTAAGTGAGTCGATATACTTTAGATACGTAAAAAATAGTTAGATCTTTTCTGAATTGGAAAAGATTTCTGAAGCATAACATAAGGTTAAAAAATATTAAGATTTTTTTTTTAATATGCGGAAAAAATCTAAATGTTTTCACTTAAGATACAATTTATCTAAAATTATCCGAGGTAAATTATTTTGTATAAAATATAATTATGTTAACCATTCTTCGTAAGGTAAAAAGTGTTCTCCGTATAGTCGTAGAAATGCTGGAGGGTTCTGTAAAAATGTAAAGGTCTTGTACAAATATGCGACATCTATTTGTTGACTTGTCGTGTAAGGGCCGCCCGGCTAACTGGTGATTAAACACAAGAAAGAAGCAGAAAAAAAGTTTCTATTTCTATGTAAAAACATCGCAATCTTGGGTACCCCGTTTCTCGCATACTTCATCGCGCGTTTGTGCTATTTTCGGAATTTGAACAAATTGTCAATGAGAAAAATTTATTGCGTTATGTACAATTTATAAACAATTTTATAACACTATAGATTTTTATACTTACAACGCAGCATTTTTCTAAATTAATTATATTTTTTCTTATACTATATATGTATAACGTATATAAATATTATGGAAATGAATGTTACGGAAATAAAAAATAATGAAATTATACGAGTCAAAAATTTAATCAAAAATTATTTTGAAATAAATAATATATACTGAGAAAATATATTTTTATTAATAAACATTAATAAAAAAAGACATTTTAATAAATATTTCTTTGAATGGTCTTAGAGAAATATTTACTTACCATAACTAAATATTTAAACTAATGATAGTTGAATCAAATTAATGATTCTTGTGTCTAATAAATATGTGTGTTTACATTTAGTAAATATTCCGCTAGAACAATTCAAAGAAATATTTATTAAAATTTAATAAATTTTTTTCACAGAGTAATATAAATATAATTACGGATATTTCTTTAAAAGACATTTAGCAGATCAAATAAAATATTTTTGTAATATAATTTGATTTGAAATTTAGAAATTAAATAAAAAAGAAATGTACATCTGCTCAGAGAGAGAGTTTAGATGTAATATAATAGTACTAAAATAGTTGTTTATGCTTTAAAATGTTGCATCGCACGTCAGTATTTGTTGTCTAGCACGAATTATTCGCGGATATTTACCAACGTAGTTAACAATCATCCTATTATTTTAGTGCAACTAATTACGTTATAATGTTTTATATATGCTTTTCAAAGGAAATGTGTAGTACTTCTTTGCACTACGATGATAATCGCATCCAAACGTTCTCCGTCATAAACTGTTTGCACAACTCGTTACCGCTTCGCCTCGATGATGTTGACTATAGGATGTCACACATTCTGCAAACAGTCCTACACGTCTTAGAGATGTTCGGTGATTCTAGACAGGACTCGACGGATGGTGCCACGAAATCGTGAAGTGATAATTGAGCACGAGCTGGCGAAGTTAGTCGTGCAATTAAGACGCGTGATTAGAATATTAAATTTTGATTATCGCCACAATAAATCTCCGAAAGTGCCAGTGTCAGAAACTGTCAAAGGAGCCTTCATGTAATTATAGTAATGACTACGTAGTCGATCAATTCCGCGTAGAGCACAAACTAATAGTAACTTTCTATATAAATATTATAATTTTTATTCAAACAGTATAAAACAATATAATTACATTATTGAATAAAAAATTGTATATTGATGTGTAATTAATTTATGTTGTGCGAGGCGATATTCAGTAATTGTTAATACGATGAAATAAGAATTGATTATTTTACAGCACCCAAACCTAGTGGCAGGAGATCGAGAAAACCGGGTATCGATCGGAAACCACGTCAAGCTTATAGTGCCAAACAGCTAGAGAGACTTGAAGCGGAGTTTAAGGTATGACTTGCGGGTTCCTTAATTCCAATTGTTATTCAAATATACAACCACCTCATTTGACAAAATTATAATTTCTTTGTATACATTTTTTATCTTCGTAGATTGACAAATATCTCAGCGTGAGCAAGCGGATGGAGCTGTCCAAGTGTTTGAATCTCACCGAGGTGCAAATCAAGACGTGGTTCCAGAATCGCCGCACAAAGTGGAAGAAGCAGCTCACATCCAGGCTGAAGATCGCGCAAAGGCAAGGACTGTTTCCACCGACGTATTTCCCGACCACCCAGTATCCTCTTCTTCCGTACTATGCGGCGCCTTTGATGTTCGGCACCCCTTTGTCGGACGACGCGAATTCTAGCTTGCCGACCCGATCCGCTGTATCGTCTTCAGATACGGTCTGACGCAGTACAGACTCGAACTACTTGGTCGATCGTCGGCCGGACGATTGCGAAGTGCAATAAGACCTTCCGTTGGCTACTGCAAAGTTCTCGGCGTTGCTTTCTTCTTTGTTTTATGTTACTTCATATTCTTTATTCGAAATTTAGACACCATTGATATAATTGTAAGGAATCTGTACTGTAAAAATGTGCGAATTGCAAAGTGACTTCTTTCTCTAAAATTTCTCGATATTATTGAGACTTTGTTGTATATAAATGATAATTGTATATTTATGTTATAAATGTGCAAAAATTTCGGGTTAAGGTATGCTCTAAATTCATTCGTGATGATAATGAATTTAGAGTTTCTTTTTGCAGTAGTGAAGCAAAATTATATTTGAATAACAATTGCATAGACAATTTCTTCAAATTATCAGTTATTTTCTAGATTGATTACTTTTGTTGTATATAAAAAGTGCGATAATTGTAGATTTATGTAATACCTACTGGAATATGAAAAATAGATGACTGGATTTACTCATAACGTTTTTTCAGTAACGGAATAAGATTGCGTTCTGATAACATAGGAGATAGACAGTAACTCCAAATTACGTACGATATGTTATTTAAATTCCATTTCGTCTTATATAAAATACGACGATTATGGATTTATGTAATGCATGGAAAAATGTGTGAAAGAGGTAGATGAATTCACTTGCTCTGAATTTACTTTACTCTGAATTTACTTACGACTTACGACTTTATACATGTTTCCGGCAAGACGAGATTCCATCCAAGCGGCAGTCATGTGCAAGTGACGCAGAAGCGACACAAACGGCTGTATGAAAGTACTATGTAGGGAATACATGAAAGTAATACGGCAACGCTATGGAGATGACGTTGATACAGACGGAGTGCCCAACGTCTTACTCCTTTTTTCTTCCAAGTGGCTGTTAAGAAAAGCCGTGTTCATCCTCGAAGAACTTATGAAGCAAGGCACAAAGAAGCGGTTTAATTGAAGGATTTAAGGTGCGCTAGGAAAAAATATATACCTCGCATCGTCTTTAATAAAGAGCGAGATGCAAAGGAAATTTCGTGTCATCCGTCGAATTACATAGCGAAGAATCACGAAGGATGCAAGGAGAATAAGGAGATTTTGTGGTCTGAAATAATTATGTGTATGTAAGATTCTGATTCGTACTATTATACATAATTTAACGTTTTCTGCTTACACGCGCGCAAATGGAACAAAGCTTACGCGGCAGGGTATAATTTATCGACGAGTAGATACGGGCCAAGCCGCAGAGCATTACATGTGTTATCGAAGTGATTCGTATGCACCGTGCAATTCAAATATACACTCGAGTTAGGGTCGCGCATCTCTATGTTAAGTTTATTGGAGAGCTGCAGCAATGTAGCTTAAAAATGGAAGAGGCATATCGTGAATTATCAAACGTACAAAGAAAAAAAACGTGAAATAGTATCGAAAGGAAAGCTCCCATGAATAAGTAGTTTCTCTGCGTCAATAAATTATATTCTATCGAAAGTATTCTTTCTCTTTGACGAAGTAATTTAACACGGCGAGTTACTTTTACTTAAATCTTGCACAAGCACAAAGGAACAAAATCTGATGGAAAAATGCAGGAAGCTACAAGGTATCTTACGCTTAAGCGTAAAGATGAAGTGATATAATGAAAAGTTAACACTAGGAGCACTAAACGGTCATTATTGACTTCTTTTTACTTTTTAGATGAATATTATACTTTTTGTATAAAATAATTTTGAAATTTTTTGACTTCAATAATTAGTCCTTTATACTGGTGAAATATTTGGTCTTCCATCACTTTCTTCATGTTTATAGTAATTTATTCGCTCGATCTTTTAAGATTTTTCATTCTCTAGTTAACTTGGGTTTAAACCTGAAGTACAATTGGAAAACATAGGAATAAGGAATTAACAGACTTCAGCTATTAGAAACTATGTATTCTGGTATACATGCAGGGTATTTTGATGGGTTGAAATCTGTTATTTCCTGTAACTTTAAACTTAACTTGTTTATGCTCGTTTCTACTAATGTAGTTTAATTTTAATTTAATTCACACACAACTAATTGTAAGTTATATTTTTTAAAAATTAAAAAAGTATGAAGACCCTACAACAGAGTCTGATTACAAGATAATAAACTTTTGAATAGGCGTCAACTTCAGCGAATTAGACCGAGTAAGGTAGTATAAGTTAGAATGAAATAGCATATATAAAAAGAGACAGTACTCTTCTTTTTCACTCTTGTTTTGACAAAATTGCTCGTTTTCACCAATATAGATTAACTTTAACCTCGGTTCAACTTATTCTTCATCTTTTTCTAATCTCTTGAACTAGAAGAAGATGAAGAGTAAGTTAAACCAAGATTAAAGTTAATAAGTCTAATCACAAGTTACTCAGAAAATGAAAAACCGAGTCTGAGGAAGTAAGAAACGTTGGTACTTCTAGCGTTAATGGGTTCACGATGCATATAATTATTCTTTCCGCCGAGTAATCAAACGTTAATTAGTCCGGGTAAAAGTTTGACAAAATTCGCGACGTGTCAGGCGTTCTTCTTCCCGCAACACCTCTCGTTCCTCGGCTGACGTTTTTCCGCATTATCGTCTCGCCTGGCGGTCGACTTATCAGTCTCGCAGGCGGCGTGCCGTCCCGCCGGGCACTTCGTTCGCGTCAACCCTGGAAACATGGCAAACTTCTTGTGCTTTTTCGCACGCGGCACCGCGCTCGTGCCGAGGCAGAGTGTGCTGGTCTCCCGTGTCCTCACTTTGACGGACGACTGCACGGTGCGCACCAGTAGCAACGGGCTGCAGCTCTTATCGAGCGCCGGGAACGTCTCTACGCGAAATTTATGAGCCGAAACTTGGACGCACTTGTCGGACTGCTCCGGCTTGGAGATCGCAGTGGCGGCCGCGATCGCCAGCGTGTTCTGGGCGCACAAGTAGCAGCAGCTCTTTGCGAAGTCGTCCACGATCGATGGCGGTTTCACGGGAACCCGTTCCTCAACGACGAGGTCATCGTCGTGCGTCACCAGACGTGTGTCCACGGCTTGCGGAACATGCTCATCGAGTTTATGGATCTCTTTCCTCTCCTCTTCTTCCATTATTACTTTCCTTCTCTCCTCCTTATCTGTCCTTACTTTCCTTTTCCTCTCTTCTTTTTCCCTTTTTTTTCTCTCCCCTCTTTCCTTCTTGATGATGTCCTCGGAGACGTCCTTATCTGCAATCTCCACCGCCTCATCTTGTTTACGAGTTCTCTCAGACTTCTTTGGGACATCTCGATACCTTATCGATTCTCGATGCGGCATAGTTGATACACCAGCAACCGCCACCACATCGTCGGGCTTCTCGCACTTCTCCTTACTTCGTGTCTTTATTCGTTCGAGAAGCCGTCTCGGCTTTCTCAAAACGCGTCGGGAACATCTTTTCTTCGCGCGGCACAATCTCAGACACCATAAACGCAGTTTAACGCAGGATTTCGACCGGCGTCTGCGTGGCAAATTGATGTCGCGCGTATCAACACTCTTATGTGTTTGCTCCGTTTCCTCGGGATTTCTCGTTATGTCTCGCTGATCTTCCTTTGGATTGTTGACACGCCTTTCACGATTCTCGGTATGCTGATCTGATGGCGTTGCTGCGAATTCAATTCGAGGATTGATATCTCAATCCGATAACGGTCGCAAAATGCGATAATTATGTTATACATACTATACATATCATATGGTATGTAACAGATATTAATCCTTCAAAGCTGACGTTAAAATCTGTAACATAGTTACTGACGCTAAGTTTGTGAGACCCATTTAATTTATGTTGATTAAAAGGATGCATTGATTAATTTTAAGAATCTAAAATAACTTAATTTACATAGAAAAAACACTAGGTTTGTTTAAATAAACTAAAAAAGCCATATTTTTTATCTAAATAGATCTTTATTTGGTACCTAAACATATTTTAAATAATTTGAGATAACTTTTCGTTTTTAAAAATTATGAATTTTGTGGAAAAAAAAATCAATTTTTTATTACTCCACAAAATTATTTATAGAAGAGGATCAAAGAGAATCAAAAAAATTTATCTAAAATTATTAATTTTGAAGATAGCACTCTTTTTCATATAAAGCGTGAAAATAAGTAATATCTCCAAAATCAGTAATTTTAGGCAATTTTTTTTTACTTAAATATGTAAAAGCCTTACGCATAAAAATAATTCAAATTTGCAGATGTAATATGTATATGAATATGTTGTATATGAATATGTTGTAAAATATAATTTGGAGTAAATTTAATGAATCCACCGTCAGCTTCGGAAGATTAATATAAATGGAATGACAATTACACTCTGAGAGTTCCTTGAGAGTTTATTTAATTGCTTAATTAAATTAAACCGTTCATTCATTTTCAAATGTCGCGATGCGTATACTACTGTATTATTGCTTTTGATGTATTAAATTTTGATGTATTTCGAGTTTTTACAACAAAAAGAAAAACGATATCCACAGCATGGAGAATTGAAAACGGAAACGAAGTAGAAGCATGCTGAGGAAATGGAGTTATTTTTCAGACTGGTTCAAAGAGTTGAATATACGTTGCTTACTACTAGATCCATACGTTGAGGAATACGCAGCATTTTGCGATAAATGCGTTTCGTATTCCGTTTGTGCATTTTTCGAAGCAGATATTTGTTCCTTAGGACGTCGTGATGAATGATCGGTGTACCAGCCAACGTGTGCGGATCGATCTGTATTTATAGATTCATCCGAATTCACTGTAGGACGCATTTTCATTCAAACAAATTATTTTAGGTTCCATTCGTTGAAGATTGAAAAGATTAATAATAGATAAGTGGCTTCGGTATATAAATTACTGTTTCCAATTTACATCAAATAAATTATTTCTTCGGTTCGTTGGGCCTTCAGAGAAAGAGAGAGAAAGAGAATATGTAATGTGGATAAATATGCAATTTTTGATATTCTTTTAGCTCAACTTTATTAAATCTTATTAATTAATTTAATATTCTTATTAATTAATTTAATCGTTGAGCTGTGTAGTCAAAAAGGTTATGCTCATTAAGATTAATATATCGCACTTTTGGATAGAAAATGAACAGACGAAATAATATTAATATGTGTATTTCATTCCATATGATGGTTTTTACTTCTTGTTAATAAAAAATGAAATTGGCGTGATCCCTTTGTATTTCGTCATATTGATTGATGAAATTTTTGTATTTAACCAAAACTGTCAGCGACTTTATTCATTGCTAAGAACTTTGCCGCGAAAAGAGACTTTTATTAACATATATTGAGATTAATTCCACCAATTAAAGGCTACCCGGCTTATTGCAAAAACAGAAACATGAACCAATTTATTATTTAAATATTTTATTACATCTTATTTTAAAACATTGCTTTAAATATTATGTCGTAAATATTATTTCTCTACAGCAGTAAAAGATAATTTTCTTTATCGCTTGTATAAATGAAAATCTAATTTCCTTGTAGAAAACAATTCTGATGACATTGCAGTCCGTGATTTATGTCATAAGCTTGTTAAATAGTAAAATACGATAAAGAACTGCTCTAAGATTAAAAGAACATAAAATAAAAGTTTTAATTAGATAATTAATTTATTAAACTTAAATTAACAAAGCATTATTAGTAATAAATAGTCAATAATCTAATTGTAAATAAAACGTGCATGCTTCTTATCATTATGGAAACCTCTGTGTAAAATTGCAATTAATATTTTGCTTTTAAAAATATTCCTACATATTTTATTCGGTTAAAAAGCGGATCTTAGAGTACTTCAATTTTTATATGAATTTATGTATGTACATATCTCTAATTCTGCAATTAAATTATGCGCCGCGATGTTTTTCAGTCTTTTGAGCAGAATCGGAGTAATAATATATCACTTATTAACCAGCAATTTAATAAATAATGTTTTATGCTAATAAGCATCATAAAATAAGGAATATTAATAATCAGATGTTAAATAGGAATTTTTAATCTGCGAGTAATTTTATTGCGAAAAGGAATTGCCTCTGCAAAGATAAGATAATACATGGGGGTATACCAGGGTGACTTTTTTTGAACGCAACCCAACGCATGTAAATAAACGCGCGGGGGGCGAGATGAGTTCGAGCGACGTGAAGGTAGTCGCGGCCGTTACGGTACGCCGCGTCAATGCCTGGTGACGTCACGTTGAAAAACGCGATGGCGGCTGCGCCGTGCGATAGCTACCGCCATCTCGCGACCGTCGTTTCTCGAGCGCCCGGAGACAGTCAGGCGGTTCGTTCGCATCGTGCACGGCTGTTGCAGCTGGTCGTAGTCAGGGAGGTCGAAGGTGGTAGGACTGTGTCAGTGGCGACGGTGGCGACTGTTCGCGCGCGCACGACTTCCCTTAGTCCCCCAGTGAGCATGTGGTGTGTGTGTGTGAATGTTGTTGCCGCTGCGATATGCGTTCGTTGAATATCGAGTGGTCCTTGTCGCGCCGTGCGTGAAGTAAGCGACAGCAGGGAGGCCCCGCGCCGTCAGCTGTTTGCGAGCTAGCACGGTTAGCCTCGTCATCGACGCGGAACGTACCGCGAAGCCGTGGGGAAAGCGAGGAGGAGGCGAGACGGAACGGCGAGCGAGCGAGCGAGCGAGCGACGCGCGTGAAGTTAGTCGCGGAAGTCAGTCTACGAGGGGCGGACCGAATCGTGCACGGTGTCGTGCGTGTGCGCGGGTTGCGTCGGTCGACACACGGTCGTGCGGTGTCCGCGTGCGAGGCGCGATTCCCGACGGGAATATAATGGCGTAGACCTCGGACCGTGCTCCGGAAACGAGAGAGAGAGAGAGAGAGAGAGAGAAAGAGAGAGAGAGAGAGAGTGTAAGAGTCACGAGAGTGGTGAACGAGGAGGAAGAGGAGGAGAAGGAGAGAACGGCAACAACGAGGGAAGAAGAGAGAGAAAGAGAAGGAGACGCGCGCCGCGTTCATATTCGCGTCGTGGCGGTGGCCGTATCGAGAGCGCAGCCGATCGTCCGCGTCGTCGCCGTCGCCCACGTATGATATACAGATTATCTCATCTCGGAGCGGAGTGGAGCGCGGAGTAGCTCGTCATCACCACCAACCATCATTATCCTCGTCATCATCGTCGTCGTGGTGCTCGAGACGAGTCTTCGGTGTTGTGTGCAGTGCTGCTGGAGAGCGAGAAGAAGTGTGAGAGAGACAGGTAGAGAGGTGGTGGTGCTAAACGGCGTCGTTCTTACCCCGCCGCCCCCTGTCTCGCGGTCGACCCTGTTGCTGGCGACCGTGTCGCGTCGCGCCGCATCGCGTCGCGCCTAACTCCGGGCTTTCTATTTTGTTTTGTGTTCCTGGTCCTCCGCGCGAGAGAGGTGCAGGCGAGGGCCGACGCCAGGTATCCCAGCGCGGCGCGTGTCCCGACTGCAGCGGGGAATATTGTATTACGATGATCAGTGACACGTACGGATACGTTCTCTTCCTGCTGCTGCTGCTGCTGGTCCCGTACATCGAGAGCGGTGAGTGTCCTTCATATAGATTCTGTACAACGAGCCGTTCGTTATCATCTAAGCTCTTAAATCCTAAGTCGTGTGTTACAAGTTGAAAAATTCAAAATTGACCTGCACTGTGTGATTGGTCCACATTTCTACCTTTTGATTTCTAATTTTGATCTGTGGCTTATCGTAGAAGGCTCATGACTGATTAGTTTCTTGCGGTTCAAGACTGAATGCCTAAGTGATGGCTTTTTGTGTACCAGAAATTTTACCGTTATGCTATATTCCGGTACACGTAGCCCGTCCGTCGACTTGCGAGAGATGGGCACGCAAGACGCGACGACGACGCGACCTGTCCGCGAATTTTGTATGCGTGGCGTATGTGCATATACGTGCGTTGGTGTGCGTGCGCGTCTCTCGTGAATCATCATCCTTTCACGAGGAGCTCGCTCGTCGTCGCGTGTCTCCATGCACGTTCTTCCGAGCGAAATAGCGTGCGATCCGCTGAAACCGCGCTGCACGACATGCCGCTGGATCGCCAACGGATTTTCGTTTTCTTCGAACGATCACGATGCACCGTGAGAAAGGCAAGGCGTGAAGTTAGCGCCGGATTTTTTTTTTACTGTTGTCTTAACCGTGTTAATTGCTGGATTTTAGAAGCGTAATGGCCGTTTCTAGAACTAGAATTTTTAGAACTAAAAACAGATGAAGAGTTAGTTGAACCGAGGCTAAAATTAAACTGCATTGGTAGAGAACAAGCATAAGAGAGCTCCTACTTTTTACAAAAAGAAGCTAAAACTCTAATTAGAATTCTCGGAACTATGGTTCCGGAGCTAACTTCACACATTCAGAAAAATATCGGAGTCACATTAAAGTGGTAATGGTCTATCATTCCTCAATTCCAGGTTTTTTTTAAATTTATTCTGCGGGATGAGCGCCGTTATTATTAGTGTAGCCTATTCTTTTGTCTGCCTATTCCTTTTTGCATGCGTGATATAAATTTACAGTGAATTTTATTGTACAAAAAAAAAAAGGGGATTTGGTAATAGCTACCAAATGTTGAATGAAAGAATTTCTAGAAAATGTTCGCGGTTAATATAACCGAAAATAATTTTATTAATCAAGTAACTGAAATCCTATTTTTAATCAAAACGGATCTTATTGTTAGTGCTTAAATATTTCGGTGTTAATTTATATTCAATTCTGCAAACCGCGCTTCAAAATATTTTTAGTCTTCAAATGCAATTGTGTATAATTTCAAAATTTGAACTGGAAATTGTACAACTTCATGAAGATATTAGTAGACACTACCGTCTTGATCGAGAATATGGCGTTTTTTACTTAATATTAAATAATGTTGCTTTTATAAATATTTAGTATTATAACTAAACGAATGATTATATTATCATGTTTTTAGTAATATTTACTAAGTATTTAGAAAAGTAAAATTATTATTATTTTATTATATTACCCGAATATTTGATTGGAATTGTTTCACTCAACATTTAGTAGTTATTATTACAAGATCCTTTTTTCGGCATATCGCATACAAAGGCCTTATTGTTGAAAACTATCACATACGAAAATACTACGTACACTATAGATTTTTTTTATATATAGATTCAAGAATAGCCCCCAGAGCTAATACATTGCGAAATAAACTGGGAAATAATTAAGTTGAATATTTAAAATTTTTTTATGTTGTAACACAGTTTACTATGCAGCTTCTTTTATCAGAGCAAAGAAGCTGCAAAACTCGCCTTTAAAAGCAGGATAACCAACTTTAAAATTTTTCATTGTCGTAATTATTAACGCATTTTATTCAAAAACACAAGATAACTATAGTATATATATCTCATCTTTATAATAATTCATCTTAATAACGCGTTTTTTTTTTTCGAAAAATCGCGTTTTTCAAAATTCATAAAAATGTTAGAAGTGTAATCGTACGTGTAAATCACGCAAAAAATACATAGATTTCAAATTGAAAAGTATATGCGCTATTGAAAATTGAATATTACAAAAGAATATTCGGATGGTTCAGTATTTGCATGCATGCAGTATTTACATAACCAACTCAAAATTCAACTCGATTTCCATTGTTATGTCGAATCAACGATACGTGGAAATTTATCCATTCTCGTTTTTGAAGTCAATGTATGTATACTGCTTTTACTTGTTTCAATAGAGAAATAAAAAATGTTTTCCGCGTAATAATAATAATAATATTGCGCATGTCCTAGATGATATAATACGCGTTTTCACGAGTATTATATCATCTAGGACATGCGCAATATTATTATTATTATTACGTAATATAGGTATTACTGTATGATTGTTTATCTTTCCACATTTTTCATTATAAATATATTTTCGCTGTACAAAACATCAGTTATAGATC